GAAGGAAAGAGAAACAAGATGAAAAGAATTCCTAATTAATAAAGCTTTTAACAAATGAGGATTTGATGTTCAATTCATTAAAGATTTTTGATAATAATACGTAAGCTCTTATGATTAAATTTTAATTAATAAAATGAATAATAGAGTGAAGGATCTGATTTTAAATACATTCGTATGTAATTTTTTGATGTTTATTCACATGAGGAAATACGTAATTACATAGTAAAAACTTTCATTTTCTTAAGATACTATAGTATAGTAAGTTTTAACGATGATGTATAGTCAAGAACGTATATAATAATTTATTAATATTTTTCATTTTTTGCAATGTTTTTGTAAAATGAATAAAATGATGATGATAAATATGCAAAATGATGTGTCAATCGTTTTTGTCCTATACTTAATTTTATTTTGTCAGATTTTTTTCAGATCACATAAATAATACTTTTTGTCCTATTTGTTTTTTTTATCATGTTCAAATATTCAAATAATATAATAAGTTTATTTACAATAAATTTTTATTTACAATAAATCTTTATATGTATAAAAAAGTCCATACTTAATGTAACTTGATTATTCGTCATTTTATCCATTACTAAAAGTCTTATTCGCGTATATAAAAGTAAAATGACATCCATTTTACAATTTATGTATATTGTCATCTTTGAAAATCATCTCAAATCTGTCGGACACTTTTGAAAAATACTGTATTTTCTAATTCTAACAAATTCTAACAAATTCTTTATTTTTCATCCGTTATTTTACATCTGGCCACCATATTCGTTCCCAGAAAAAACATAATAGATCCGTCAAACGCATCAAATTGCTATTGTTTACGTATCGTTGTCTGTATTTCAGTACCTAAGGTGCTTGACGCTATTTTTTATTACTTTAAGAAAGTTCCAGTTTTTCAAAAAGAAAAAAAAATTAAATCTCTTTCTCGGACTTCAAAAAGCGTATGGAATTATTATCTCTTGCACGCATCGCGTGCTGACACGCAAGCACTTCATTTATTATAAATTATAAGACTCATTATTTTATTTTGATCTTTCAATATATTCAATCGCATTACAAAAGAGAATATGCAAAATCAGATTAATGTCCGCGACATGTTTTTGACGTATACCTTCAGATTGATATACTCGTGAACAAATTTATTTGACAGCTGATTTGATACCAAGAAATAACAGTTTAATCATGATTGCATAACAGGACATAGTTTTCATTTTTCATATGGACGACGATGTAAACATTCATTTTTTTTTCAGAACGCGACAGAAAAAAAATATGAGTAAAAAAAAGATCAGTCTAAAAGAACATAGTTCATCTTTCAGCATGTTAAGGGTGCCATTATCATGTGAAATTTATTGTGTATAATCAGCTCATATATTTAACCATATACGTACATAAAAAATGTTGCAATATAAATACAAATGTGCATTCTATAAATTTTATGCCATTGTTGATTCACTATTCAAATCAGTATAAATAATAGGCGAAGTGTG